GATCTTGGATCTTTTCGATTGATTGTTATGATATGCATTTATATTCTTACATGCATATATTGGAATGCTCCCGTTGTTCTGAGTATATACATATATTTTTATAATCTGTCCTCTATATATTTTTATGCATCATAAAAATCATATAGAAATCCATGATCTCTTTTACTCCTTAAAGTAGCAGCAAAAATATTCACAATTTCAATTTTCCTGTGCAAGAAGATACAAAATAAGTGGTATCTAAACTTAAGTATGTATTTAAATCCCTCTGAACTGGGGTTCAGGTCAGAGGTGTAGGTGGTGAAAGGATTCACCAGAGACAGAGTGGTAACAGAACAGGTGGATTTGCTGAAATACACTGCTGAGGGGAGCAGTTGGCAGGACAGGAGAGGTCTACCATGCTATGTGGCTCACCTCCCTGGCCAGGGATGGAACTCGTTTTTAAAATTACAGCTTTCTGAAGATCCATATCAGAGCTACTAAATTGAAAATTCCAGAATGTGACCTTTAATGGTAACTAATACATCTGGTCTTTGATGAGGTTTCAAGATCATATCAAAATAGGAATATGCAAAGAGTATTGTGCAAAGCTAAAAGCATTTAATTTCAAAAAACTTCTTTTTTTCTGAGATTCTGCTTCCTGCATTTTTGGTGTTGGGTGTTGATACAATTTATTTATAGCAGTCTATGACATTAAACAAGTCTGTATATCACTGACATTTTTCTAACTTTTAAAAAATGTTTTATTTATATATACAAGAACTGGGGTTCAGGTCAGAGGTGTGGGTGTTGAAAGGATTCACCAGAGACAGAGTGAGAGCAGAACAGGTGGATTTGCTGAAATGCACTGCTGAGGGGAGCAGTTGGCGGGACAGGAGAGGTCTACCATGCCATGTGGCTCACCTCCCTGGCCAGGGACGGAACTCCTGCTGCAGTGGTTGTGGATAGCTTCAGAGTACTGTGCTTTAATCCATTGCTTCACTAGGGAGGGGTCCATTTTTCTAACTTTTTTAGTAGCAGAGTATCGTTTCTTTTCTGAGTGAAAATTTATGTAGAATCATAACATAACACAGATAAACATCACCACTTTAGTATAAACTTTTTCATGAGCTTAAATATATATGATAGGAAAACAAAGGACTTGAAGGTATGAGGTAAACATATATGGTGACTATCAGTTAATGAGTACCTGGTACCTCTGCAAAAGAAAAACAGCAGTGATAACCCCATTCTTTCTATGAAATGCCCTGCTCAGTATCTCTGCTAGACAATATGACTGTGTTAATGTTTACAAGCAGCTTGTTGTTTTAGTTGGCACCTTGTAGACATGAAGTATTATGCTGTACAGCTACATTTACCAAAGTATGTTCCTAAAAGCACTGATCTTGCAAAGCACTCCTTGTAAAAAATGGATTTAGGAATCAAAAAGACCTTAAAAATACATTTATTTTATGATTATACTTTTATGATGATTATATTTTATGTTTATACATTATTTTATGATTTCCATTTACCCTGTTTTCTCTGTTTCATTTCTTTTTTATCACCTTGATATATTTAGTGATTTATTCAATTTTTTTCCTTTGGTATTTTGGAAGTTACCTGTTCTTTTATTCGCAGCAACCTTCATATTTTAAAATACACAGTTAATGTCTATATAATAAAATTCCTAAGTATGTATGTATATATGTATATATATATAGTATGTATGTATATATTTTATGTATGTATCTATGTGTATATATATATATATACATTTATTCCATCCTGTGTTATGTTTTTATTGCATTTTATTTTCAAAATTAAACATTATGGTTATAGTGAATATTTCTCTGAGTTTACCCATGTGTTTAATAATTATCATTCTCCCTAAGTTCAATATGTTAGGCGGCAAAATTTTGTTTTTTATGAAATCATCATTATTCACTCATTCTTGGATCCTGTATTTTCAGATTTGCATACTTAAGAGTCTCTCTGTAACCTGAAAGTCAGTGCTTATTGCCCTTTCAGACCTTTCAGAATCATTCTTGAACATGTGCAGGCAGTAAAATTTGTGTGGTGGAGGCACATGTATTTCCACCTATCAGTTTGATGTTCTGTTTTATTTTGACTCATACTATAAATGCCTCCATTAGCTTTGTATGTAATGCCACAATTTTTTTTGCATTGTTTGTGCTTTTTGTTGGTGATTTCATTGTTTCACATGGTCCCAAAGGATAGTATTGAAATACTATGTACTGTTCCTAAAGGAAGGCTATGATGTGCTCTATGGAGAAAATATGCGTGTGATAGATAAGCTATCATGACTAGACACTTAAAAAGGAATGGCTAGGTCATGATAAGTCTATGTTTAATATTTTGAGAAATCTCTGTACTATTTTCCATAATGCCTAGACCAGCCTACATTCCCATCCACAGTGTAAGTAGGTTTCTATTTCTGTACTTCTTTGACAACATTTGTCTCTGGTCATTTTGATATGAGCCATTCTCACAGGTGTGGGGTGGTATGTCAATATGATCATAAGTTTTTTATCTTTCCTTTTGTTGATGTGCTGAATTACAATGATTGATTTTCAGATGTTGAACCATCCTTGAGTCTCTGGGATAAATCCCACGATCATGATATATGATCCTTTTAAACTATTATTGAATTTGATTTTCTAAGATTTTGTTGAGGATTTTTACATCTATGTTCTTCATGGAAATTGGTAGGTTTTTTTTTTTGTGGTGCTTTGTCTAATTTTGGTACCAAGGTAATATTGCCCTCATAAAATGTATTTGGTGGAATTCTTCCTCTTTCTCAGTTTTTTGGTATACTTTGGGAGGAGAATTATTAGTTCATTTTTGAAAGTTTGGTAGACTTCACTGATGAAACTATCGGGTCCACCACTTTTGTTTTGTAGGAGACCTTTGATGACTGGATCCTAGCTTTTTGGTTTGTTCAGATTTTCTACTTCCTGGTTCACTCTTAGAACAGTGTTTATTGGTAAGAATATATCTGTTTGTTGACTTGCTTGCATATACACGTTCATAGTAATCTCTATGATCATCTCCATTTCTGAGATGTTTACTATAACTTCTCTATTTTTCTGATTCTATTTGTTAGTCTTCTCCCTTTTTGTTTGTGATACTAGCTAGAGGTTTGTCCATTTTTTTCAAACAAGCTGTTGGTTTCATTGACCTTTTGTACTATCTTTTATTTATTTCTAAAATAAATAAAACAGAAAATAGCATTATCATATTAAATGAATTTTTGTAATGGATCATCTCTTGATTTTTTTTTGTCAGTTTTTTTTGCCAAGACGATCTTAAGAAGGAGTTGACTTTATTTGTCATTCAGCAGAGAATCCTATATGCAGTTTATAGTAAATTTTACATATGAGAAACCGAAATCATTTAAAAATCAATTACAGAATTTATCTACATGAATTCATCTAAAATAATTGTTTTCTTAATTCAACTTGTAACTACAGTGACCTATCCTACAGAGATATTACTTCTGTTTGGAGATGATTTAGGAAAAGAAAAATTTCTTACTTTTACTTTATTTCCTTCTATATCAGTGATTCAGTATTCAATCATTCTGGATTCAAGTAGAGAACAAAAACAAATTTGAATTTTTTTCAAGAGCTAAGCAAATGTCTAATATTGTACATAAATAATGTAAGAAATTTTTAAAAATTAAAAATAATAAAAGAAGTAAATTAAGTAAAAAAAACATTAGAAGCATTTAACCTCATTCATATATTTTGTCTCTAGACATCCTAGGACATACCTAACTAGGTACTTATTATTAAGGTAAAAATGGATACTTTATAAAGGATAGCAAAAAGAATAAGAGATTTAAAATCTATACAAGAAAAATCACAAAATTATCCAGCAATCTATCTGGCATAAGAGACTTGAACAGGTGGAAAAACTTCATTCTCTTGAATAAAAATACTCAGGAAATACTGGTACTCCCTGAGGCAGTTTATAATTGTTACCCATTTAAAATGCCAACAGATGTTTTTCTGCAGACAAATAAGAATTCTTTATCTGATAGGAAAAAAAGATCTTCCATGTCTTCACTGAGTTCTAGACTTTGATTTTCTTTCTGTGGTGTATTGTTGAATTAAGAACTTTTTTGACCCTTTGTGTTTTCCTTTTACCCCATTGTATTCAGGGTTGCTTTGCTGTAGATGTGAACTGTTGGGATTTTACTAAGTTGTGAATTCAGTAGCTGGGGCCTTCCCTGGAGTAGATCCTGGCTTGTGGCATAGTGGCTGGGCTTTTGGTAGAGAAATAAGGGATATGGTGGGTGGGATGTCCAGCAGGTTTTCCCCTGCACGTGTCTGGGACGTTCAGGTCCAGCTGGAGTTATAGCCATATTATAATTATCAATAAAAAGAACTCAGTTTCACCACAAAATTATTAACTGAACAACATAGCTCTTAATTGGATTTCACAATTTTTCTACTAGTAACCTTTTTCTGTTCCAGTATCCAATGCATGATCCTGTATTGCATTTAGTTGGCATCTCTCCTTGTCTCTGTGACAGTTCTTTAATGTTAATTTTCATGGACTTGAAATTTGAGAAATATATTGGCTTATTATATTGTAAATGTCTCTCAGTTCAAAATTGTTTAGTGTTTTGTGGGGTTTTTTTTGGTAGCAACACTAGATTTCATACTGTACCTTTATCAGTTCTTCATTTCAGAAGGCAAACGATACTGAAATGTCTTACTGGTGATTTTTTCCTTTGTGAGGTAATATCTTCCTAGTTTTCTCCATGATAATGTTGTTTTTTTCTCCCCTGGTAATATCTTCTTGCTTTTAACTTGATTGCTTTTAATAGAAAAGATGCAGAAGAAAGAGAATTTTGTTTCCTTAGACAGTTTATGAATAGTTGTTTTAAATATAAAAATCTTATATGATAATTTCATAACTTTAACATTTTATTTTCAAGTAGTTATGTTGAGAAATTACTTTTTAAAACATAGAGCCTTAATACATATTTTCAGAACACCTTTTTAACTTAAAGTTTGCTGCAAAAGAACTTAATAGAAATGCTAAGAAATGTGATAAAGAAGAAAAGGCTGAAAAGGCCAAGATTAAAAAGGTAAGCCATTTTTAATTTTTTTAGCTCATGAAATTGTTACAGGGCAGGGAAAGGGGCACCCCAGGGCCCCCAAACCTGCCCACTCTAAATAGGTTCTGCCATCTACCACAACAAGACAAAACATAACCTTTCGTGGAAAGGAACTGTAATACAATTAGTGTGCACTATAGAAAAGACAAAGAATATAGTTTCAAATCAAACACCCAAAGTTACCCATTCCCTGGTGGGTAAAAGTCCATCCAAAAGGTATTGACTCAAAGCAAGGCCTGAAAGCCAGACACAAGTCTAAAGCACATTCCAGCAGGGGCCCATAAAGAAAGGTCAGAAATGCCAAAGAAATCTGGGAGGAAAACGCAAAATCAAAATCAATATTATAAAAGCTGACATTGTTATCCTCCCTATGAATCTCTCACCCACATCTGTTTCAACCAGTCCAGGGCCAAGAAACAAGAGCCACTTTTTCGCATGTCTTTCTGCTCCCATGTCCCTCTCTCAGGTCTATTTCTGCCTCTCCATCCTGCTTCCTTCCTCTTCAGTCTCCTCTCCAGATTATTTTCCTCCCTGCTCAGTTCCACCTTCCTTTGGAAGGGGCAGAGAACCTGGAACCTCCCCTTTAGCTGGGTACCACCCTGTTACAAAGTGAGCATAATCAAGGAAAAACAGCTGAGTTTATTTTACATTGAAGACAGATTACTGGCTTTATTATTCTAAATCACATATCTAAGTAGATTCTTACTATACAATATACTTAATAGTTGTTCTTTTGTTTATTATTATCTATATGTGCAAACATACACATTTAAAACTTGCCTGTTGGTTTGTAGCCCAAACCAATCTTACAGAGAAATATAAAACTTATATGTAAGAAGAGCACTTAATGTTTTTGGCTCACTTTTTTTTTTTTACAGCTCAAAAGTTTTGTATCTTAACAGTGCTTTGTATTAATGTGTGTTGTGGTTTGTGTAGTATGTATTTGCGAGGAATATTCACAGTGGTGAGCATCCTGTTGTACTTATGGCTCTGATGTATTATAATAAAAAGATGCATAGCAAAATGGAACTTTCAATGTCTTGGTGATAGGTGTGGTATGGTAACATAATCTGAAGGGTGTGGTCCTGTACCTCTAAATCATATGCAGTGTTGTAAATGAAAGTTAACCAGGTTAAAAAAAAATCAAAGATGCATTAGGCTAAGTGTGAAGGAATCCAGGATCAAGCTTCTTAGAATTCTCTTATAGCATAATTCCTCCACCAAAATTCCAAACTCACAGAAGGAAACCATTGACTGGCACACACCACATTATTTGTACAGTTAGGCACAGTAGCCACTCATATTCTGGTAACGAAGCTAACCCGCTCCCAATTCAAGTTCCTAGAAGCCACCCAGTGCTAAACTTGCAAGTAGACCTTTCTATGGATAGCATTTTCAGTTTTGCTTTGTTTACTCTATTTTGTGCATGTGTATTTGTAAACCTGTATTTAATATTTTATTACTTTAGATATCCATATCGTTGATAACAGCATATCCACAAACCTTAAATTCATTCACTTTGGGTATTCACCTTTTGTCTGTTTTTTTTTAAAGATGTATTTATTTATGCATACATAACTGGGATACAGGCCAGAGGTTCAGGGGTGGTGAGAGGATTCACCAGTGACAGAATGGGGAGCAGAACAGGCCGACTGACGAAGTACACTGCTGAGGGGAGCAGCGGGTGGGTCAGGAGAGTTCTGCCACACCATGTGGATTACCTCCAGGGCAGGCAGGGATTGAACTCATGTTGAAGTGGATTTAGCTTCTTACTGCTGTGCTTTAACCTACTGTACCACCAGGGAGGGCCCTGTCTTACCCTATTCTTAATTGAGAACTTTAAGGAAAAAGAACTTTTAGTAAAGGAAATGGAAGTAGACTGAATTAGGGGAAAAAAACTTGAAACTGACATATGATTATTGTTTTCTTAAAACTGCTGCAACTGCTGATACTATCTTACCATTTTTTTGTCTTTTCTTCAACAGTCTTATTTTTCATATATAGGTGCTTCACCTTCTCATTATAAATTGGATTGTCATTTTAAGTTTCCCTTTCTTATATTAATTAATATAGAACTACAGCTGAATTTTGTATCCTGATTTTTTTATCCTGTAATTTTACTGTATTGATTATTTCTGGTAGTTTTTGGTAGGGCTTTTGGGTTCTCTATGTACTATAGCATGTCACCTGCAAATACTGTTTTCTTTTTTTCTAATTTGGGTTCCTTTTATTTCTTATTCTTGGCTACTTGCGCTGACTAGGACTTCCAATACTATGTCGAACAGTTATGGTGACAGTGGGCATCCTTGTTTATGATCTTAGCAGGAATGCTTTATGTTTCTCAATATTGAGTATGATGTTGGTTGTGATTTTGTTTGTATGGCTTTTATTATTTTACATAAGCCAATTTTACTTCATGCTCTGTTTATCTTTGCTACTTGTGCTGTGTTTGAAACAGGCAATTCAGAAGGGCAATACAGAAGTTGCAAGAATACATGCTGAAAATGCAATCCGTCAGAAGAACCAAGCAATTAATTTCTTGAGAATGAGTGCTAGGATTGATGCTGTGGCAGCCAGAGTTCAAACTGCAGTAACAATGGGAAAGGTAAAGCTTAATCAGAAGTCTTGGTTTCAGTTTAATGAGAGTACTAATTTTATTAGAAATCTTAATCTAATGCAAGGTGCTATGGGCTTCTGATAAGGTCTTTTTGTGCAAGAGAGACATAAAAGTGCTTAGTGAGGAAAATGATGTTGTCAGTAGCTTTTTAAATTAAGGTCTAATTGGTTGTCTTCCAAGGAAGAGTCAGAAATCAATGGTAGCTAGTGTTTAAATTAGTGTCTAGACCAGAAATGCATACTGTATTTTTATTGTAAAGGAAAGAATAGACAAATTTCATAAGTTGATCTGTAAGTAATGTATTTAAGAGGCTATATAAATTTTTTTTTTATTAAAAAGTTTATTTTTACATCATTTTTCACATTTTTTTTTCATCTCAATTGTAATCCCCATGGGTTTCCCATCACCAAATCACCCCTGTGCCACCACCATAGTCCCGTGCATTTCCCTCCCTTCCCC